ACATTGAGATCTCTTCTGAAACTCTAGAGGAGACCTATGTGAGATTACTGGGGTCTTTTCAGTTGAAAGTCTCCATCTGCTCACCATGGTGTCTTGGAGAAGCAACTGACATAGTTAAAGGGATAGTTCACTTTGAAATAAATTTTTGGTATGTTTTAGCTTACCTCAAGGGCATCCAAGATGTTGGTGTCTTTGTTTCCGCAGTAGTTTCAATTTTGATATTTTTAGGTCAAACCGTTCTTGTCTGTCAGTCATATAATGCAGGTCTATGGTCACCACCTCAAAGAGCATGCACAGAGAAGGCCAAATTAAACATCGTAAATGTCAGTACACACTGATGGCCTTAGACACGAAACGAGCGGTTTGTGTGAGAAAACGAACAGTATTTATATCGTTTTTACCTCTTGTAAACACAGCCACGTCCAAGTGATCTGAGGGCGCGGGCGCTTCGGTCTGCGCAAGCGCCGGAAGTGATCTCTCGCGCGTGTACGTCACTCATTGTTTACACAGAACAGAGATTGTAGGTAAGACGGCTAATTAAAATGGTACTAATTTGCGCTTATCCGGGATGTTTAAACCGTCGTAAAAGAAAAAATTACGTATGCTCGCGCGAACTCATCCGGGAGTGGTGAGTTTTCACAAATTCCCAATTTATGAGCATTTATGAGCGCGAGAGATCACTTCCGGCGCTTGCGCAGACCGAAGCGCCCGCGCCCTCAGATCACTTGGACGTGGCTGTGTTTACAAGAGGTAAAAACAATATAAATACTGTTCGTTTTCTCACACAAACCGCTCATTTCGTGTCTTAGGCCATCAGTGTGTACTTACATTTACGAGTCATTAAATCATGTTTAATTTGGACTTCTCTGTGTATGCTCTTTGAGGAGGTGACCATAGACCTGCATTATATGACTGACAGACAAGAACGGTTTGACCTAAAAATTTCAAAATTGAAACTACTGCAGAAACAAAGACATATACATCTTGGATGCCCTTGAGGTAAGCTAAAACATACCAAAAATTTATTTCAAAGTGAACTATCCCTTTAAGAGATTTGGTAGTTTTCTTTCCATAAGGGTCTTTTACGAAGAGTAACCTTTCAGCCTTTAAGGTTTATTTTATGAATTAATTACTATCTGTATTTCAATTGGGATGAGTGTCACATGTCTGACAAGTTTTACCAAAAAATGTAAATAAAAAATATGAAATTATATTTTGCATAAAAATTAATTAAGCTATATTTATATTGTGATTAAGTACATTTAAAGTTCTCATTTATTTGACATATAAAATCTAACTGAAATGTGAATTTGTAATTAAAATATTTTACAATTTATACATCTAAGTAGTATTTGCTTTACTGAAATTAATTAACAATTATTAAAAATGACAGTATGCTTACTAAGCCTGTCACGATCATGATATTGCAATGATTAAATTGCAAAATAACAATTTAATTCTGTTTTGTTCATGTCACTTACAGTGTAAGCCTAATGTTATTTTTTTACATGGAATCATAAATAATATAATAATAAAAATTATAATAAAATAGGCCCACATGATTTACTTTAATGCTGTAAAATAATATTATATATTATATTTCACAGCATTAAAGTAAATCATATAATATTATAATATAATATATGATGCAGTCTGGTTAAACCCACAAACCTTTATTTTGTATGAAGTAAGACCTTTCACTGTCTAGCTATGTACTGTGATTAAAATTCAAACTTCACAATTATTGTGGTTCTCTCAAATAATTGCGATTAGATCAAATAACCATGATCAGACGACTAATCGATCATCGCGACAGGCCTAATGCTTACTAATGTCACGGTTTTGCATTTAATCGTTTGGAAAATGGTGATTAACTGAGATTAATATTTCTCCAAAATAACAAAGCAGATACTGAAAAAGTACAGTGCTTTCAGTGTTTTCTTATTCAAGTGACGTATCATACAGATAGTGTAAAAAAAGCCCAAGGTGATCACTAATGCATCATTCTGAGGACTATTACATTGATTTAAATCTGCCCCCGTTCTGAGCTGACAAGCATAGAAATGAGATCTATGTCTGCTATCTGTGTACTCTGCCAAATGCTAATAAGATTGTGTTGGACATGACAGAGAGCTTAACTCATCTCCTGATGGTCTGCATTAAAAACACACTCCAATTACCTGGTTTTAGTTCAACTGTTTTTTGTTGTAGTTTGTTCTTCCATTTTTTCCGAATGACATTTTAATCTGGAATGAGACAAGCGGATGAGATTTGGCTAGCTGCGTGTTGTCAAGTTTTCATTATTTGTGCCTAATTTTTGTGAAATGTCAGCCCAGTGTGTTGATTAGCACTCCTGCGACCTTGGCTATCAGAAAAACGCCAGCGGCTCGGTGTGTGAATATTAAACAGGTCAGTCTAAATGGATTTCCAAACACAGTTCCACAGTCTCCCAGCTTGAATTATTAATGATGGACGTTTATTGACCTGCATAAATCCATCAAACTCATGATTAGAAATTACATCATTCATGGCTCGACAGACGATACTTATATTTGTTTTAACATCAGCCTTGAGAAAGAAACATTATCTGAGAGCGAGGGGTGTAAAAAGTCCGAAGCTTGTCTATTAAAATACATTAGGCCTATATTTGGCCCGCCACGCATAATTTACAAATCATGCAGTTTCACAGTGTCAACACAAGGTGACAGCACTAGATTTTAGGCCAGGTGTTGCATAAAACCGTGAGTGAAAGTACATTTAATAACTGATGTTTGGTGCAAAAGGTCTGATACAAACCTCAAATGTCTCTGTGATTTAAACTAGTTTAAAGTCGTATGACACCAGCGCTGACATTCTCAAGAACACGGATGTGGAAAACAGGAGGAACATTGCGCCACAACGATACAGTTAGAATACTTTTCAATTCACAAATCACCAACGTTTACTGTAGTAACACTAACTGTAAACATGGTATTGTGGCAGAAATGTGGGATATTGAAGAGAGAAGAAGAGAATGATCTCCTTAATAAAAAGAGACCCCAGTAATCTAGTTTCAACAAGGTTTTAAAAAGTGTAAAATTTTTGGCCAATACACCAAAGTTTACAATCAAAAATGAACTCTATCATTTCTCAGCAAATTCTTCCAATATCAAATGATCTGAGCTCTACTCTTATTGTATGTAGCTATTGAATCAGCTGCATCTATTTTCTTTTATCCATCTAAGGAATTAAACATCAGAGACAACGTCGCTACTTAAAAGAAACATTACCGAGAACCCAGTTATGTCTGCTAAAAGATGAAAGAGCAGTTTTGAGCAATGAAATATTCATCTGCGATTAGATAAGTACCAAAGATCAAAGACATGTCATGTATACATAAAACAAATTAAATTCATATAGTATTAACTAAAAGACCAACTTATAGTTTTTGAGGTTAGAATTATACATGTTTTATATCTATGAAGAAAAAAAAGGTTTGAGTGAATTCTCCCAGCTGTTTCTCAGCTTCCACCATCCTGCATTTGAGATCAAATCAATGCTGGAATATTGTCATGGATTATATTGTAGAATTTTGTGAGCATTCCCTTGTATTAATAAAAAGTGCAAATAATTAAGCGGCCATGTAACAGTGTATTTCCACAATGTTGTTATCACATGTCTTTAAATGATGCTGACACTATGGCAGGACCGGATTTGCTGTTGGCTCCTAGCAGTAATCCGTGATTTATTATCCACTTTGTGCTGACAGCTCTTCTTCTTCCCTCTCTCTTTCTAGGTTGTGTCAGAAGAGCAGGCGAGGATGAAACTGAAGCCCAGTAAAAGAGATTCCCCCTGGGGGAGCCATAGACAGATGTGGAGCCCCTGGAGCCACTGACCCCGTGTCTGAATGATCTATGGATAAAGACCACCAGCCCTCAAGAGTCAATCTTCTACTGCTGAGCAGTTCTACATTGGCAGACACAAACAAATGTTGCTCTGTAATTGCTGAATATCTACAGTCTGAACATTCGGTTCCTGGGCTCCATTTTCTCAAAGTTACCTTCCCGTTACTAGAAAAACGACCTACCACAACTGTACTTAGCCTGAAGAACTCGGACTCGGTAATTGCTGAGTATCTACAGTCTGAACATTCGGTTCCTGGGCTCCATTTTCTCAAAGTTCCCTTCATGTCAAGAGAAATACGGCTAACTCACAATCCAGCAAATGCATGCAAAGCTTCCGGGAAAGCCCATGTATCCTCACATCACCTTCCAATCGCATGACCGTGAAAGAGGAAAGTTATGGCGTCTCATTGAGAATGCTGAGGTCGGGCAGGCATGCGGTCTAACAGGATCAATACAACCCTGCTGATTAATGGGCAGATTTCTCTTCCATTTAGTGTGTCAGAGAAGAATCATCTGCCAAGACGAAGATTGTGAAACCAGGTCTCTTCGGTCTTTAAGAGTCGCATTTCCATTGCAAAGTAATCCTGCTCTGGACCTTTTTTGGAGCTTTGTATCATTTAACACTGCTTCTTCAGATTTCCAATCATTACGACCCTTGCAAAAGCAGTGTGAATCAAACTGTCAGTCTGGAGCAATTGGCTTTTTGTAGAATAAGTTATTTTCACTTTGTTCCTGGGTCAAGATTACGAAATATTGGAAATGCAAATGCTTTCAAAGTTCACCAAACTGGGATGAAAAAGCAGCTGCTCCAAACAGCACAGCAAAGCTTGAAACAAAGTCTCCTCTGTCTTTTTTTCTTTTTTTTACAGTTGCATTTCAATTGCAAAGTAATCCTGCATTGGACTTTTTTGTAACTTTGCATCATTTAACACTGCTTCATCTGATCTACAATCAATACGACCCTTTCAAAACTGTGAGTCAAGCTGTCAGTTGGAAGAAATTGGCTTTTTAGTAGAATCATTTCTTTTCACTTTGTTCCTGGGTCAAGATTACGAAAGATTGGAATCGCAAATGCCTTCAAAGTTCACCGAACTGGGATGAAAAAGCAGCCGCTCCAACTAGCCCAGCAAAGCTTGACCTGCAACATCGTGAATCCTTCGAACCCAAGTGCAACTAAGCGGACGACATTGCTGTGAGTGAGTGCATGTGGTGGTGGCCCTCAGCATGGTGTTGCCACCACCAGACAAGCGGCATGTGTGTCTTACCACCTTTGTGATCATGACCAGCATGGCCTTCATGGACGCCTACCTAGTGGAGCAGAACCAGGGCCCACGGAAGATCGGTGTCTGCATCATTGTCCTGGTCGGGGACGTCTGCTTTCTTATCGTCCTCCGCTATGTGGCGGTCTGGGTTGGAGCAGAAGTGCGGACGGCTCGGCGAGGATACGCCATGATCCTGTGGTTCCTCTATATCTTTGTGTTGGAGATCAAGCTTTACTTTATCTTCCAGAACTGTAAGGCTGATCGTAAGAGTCTGGAGACTGTCGCCCGGAAGGCTTTAACTTTATTGCTGTCTATTTGTGTGCCGGGCCTATACCTGGTTCTGGTGGCTCTGGACAGCATGGAATACTTCCGCACCTTTAGGAGGAAGGAGGACATGAGGGGTCGGCTCTTCTGGGTGGCTTTGGACTTGCTGGACCTGCTGGATATGCAGGCTAACCTTTGGGAGCCACAGCGGACGGGTTTGCCTATTTGGGCTGAAGGTTTGATGTTCTTCTACTGCTACATTTTGCTTCTGATTCTTCCCTGCGTGTCTTTGAGCGAGGTCAGCGTGCAGGGCGACCACGTGTCTCCCCAGAAGATGATGCTCTATCCTCTACTCAGTCTGGTCACTATCAACATCGTCACCATCCTCATACGTGGCGTCAACATGGTGCTCTTCCAGGACAGCCGGGTTTCAACCATCTTCGTCGGGAAGAATGTGGTGGCCATCGCGACCAAGGCGTGCACCTTTCTCGAATACCGAAAACAGTCACGAGAATTCCCGAATCGAGAGAACGCAACCGGAATTCCCATGGAAGTCCAGCAGAACTCGGTGGGACATGGACAAGCTCTTCCGAATGCAACTAGCCTCGCACATGAACCCACTCCAGCACGGGATATTATGGATACATGACCAAGGAACCAAAATTAAGTCTTTCGTTTGATGCAATTGTACTTGGAGCCAACAAAGAGCATCCAAACCAACAGATATGATGAACCGGTGAACTGTTTTGAAGTACTTTGGTACAACATTTCAGCATTACAAGGTGCTCTGTCCTGTTCTTGACTGAGGTAAATCAGCCAATTTTGAGCGGTGTTGTTCAAAGGAAAACATTCAGTGTTTTATCATTTGTTCTCCTCCATCTTTTCCACAGTTATTAATGAAGAACTGCTGTTTTCTTTCTGTACAGTAGGGGAGTGACTGTGGTGCAAAATACTTTTCCCATTTGTTCCCACGTCCACTTTTTTTGTGTCTGACTGAAATTTCCCTTTCTTGCAAGTACAGAATGGTGGAACTAGAGTGTAATGAGTTTATTTTTGAAGGAACTAGAGTTACTAGACAGATGAGGTTGATATTATGACCAAATGTTGAGGAGTAGTCCTACATGCCTGCAGTATGTGTTTGCGCTCGTGTTTTATGATGTGTTGATGACATTACAGAAATTAGAATAATTAAGAAAGTAAGAAATTTGTATCCGATGATTATATGGAATTTCTTAGGAAATAAGCGAATGCACTTCCAATTGATTGGTATTTGGATTATTATTGTTGTTATCATTATTATATATATATATATATACAGTATATATACCACTTGTGTACTTGTTTTTTTTTTTACAATTTTGTTTGAGGACTTAGTCGTTTAATAAAAAAATAATAATAATAAAAAAATGTTTTCGCTATTGCTTGAAGGGTTTTTATGCTAACAAAATGCAAAAAGTGATTTCTTAGTTTTTTTATCTTGTTCCCACTACAAATATCTAAACATTCTTAAATCATAGATACATGAAGAAGCAAAATGACTTGTTTTTCAGAAAACAAAACATAATGTTATAAATAAAGTGTATTTGCTTAAAACAAGAAAAAATATTAGCCAATGGCGTCAGAAAAATCATCTTGTTTTCCCTTTTTTTCCTGACCCCACTGACATATTTTTTTTCTACTTTTAAGCGTAAACTCACTTCATTTTGATAGCTTTTTTCATAAAACAAGAAATCTTAAGTCATTTTGCTTTTCAAGCACATGTATCTCGATTTAAGAATGCTTAGATATTATGCTTAGAAAACAAGACACAAATACTGAGGAAGAAAATCATTTTTTGCAGTGCTCTTTTTGTCCACACGAACAGACAGTCACAGCATTTCTATTTCAGCCCTTGTTTAAATCAGTTCCTCTAATGTTTGAGTAAACACACCGTGTCTTCGGAAGCGGATGGGAGGGTAAATGGCATCTGGGAAAATGAAATAAATTACGCATGGCCCCATCAGCGGGGACTCACCTTACTAGAGTCACACAGCGTGAAACTGATTCCTAAAACACTAAGGCCTTTTCCTCTGTATGCAGTGCGAATGCGAAAACCATTTACTATCCACGTCTGATTTATTCAGCATATGTAGCAACCTGATGTATTCCATTTCAACAACATTAATTTATTGCCACCTGCATAAGGTGGGCGGTCTCGTGTGGCATTGACTCACTCCACTGCGTATTGTGCTTTTTGAGAATTTCTCTCATTTAGCGTCCACCCACCATCTGACAGCTTGAATATCCCTTTACCGTACAATGTCTCATATGGCGACATACATTAACAGTATTTAGAATAAAACACTTTGGATTGCATTATTTCATGTTTTTATGAATCGTACCATAAAGGTATATTCATGCACCAACAGAAAAACATGCCCTTAAAATTGCACTGTTCATTAATAGTCAATAAGCACGTACATGTACAAGTAAAAATTAAATATAGTTTCAAGGGGGTCAGGGTGTGCAACACAGAACACTTCATAAATAGTATAAATTATATCCGTGCCACACATACATGCAGTGGCGTAACTATCGGTAAGCAGGGTATGCGGTTGCTTACGGGCCCGGACCAATCAGGGGCCCGCTTGACTGGAAGATATTGATTGACAGCCGGGGCCCCCTATCGCATAGTACTTTTAGTTTGATCGCATTTTACTTTATCACGATTTTGTTTTAAATAAATAATGACAACAACATATTTTACAGATCATTAAATACATGTGTGAAACGAACAATTATGGATTTTGGTGTAATTTGTTTTGAGCTGGGACTGGGGAATCCCCGGGTCGGCTGTTTAACGTTACACGCGCGCGCCACTTCATGCGTTTTCTCAGATCGGATAGCTACTGATTTATCAAAACGATTCCATTTACAGCTGGTCACATAAATGTGTTTTTGCAAAACAGATATAAATCCGATCTTCAATTTCCGCGCTATATGCAGATTTAATAGAGTTCACGTCACCGAAAGCAACAGATAAGCTGCATTTTATTGATCATCAGCTAAAATTTCTAAATCGAAGACCGCAATTAGAGAGAGCGGCAACAGTAGGCCTACTGGTAAGATCATTTCGTTTCTTTACTTTTAATGAAGATGATTGTGTGTTAAGCGAGCGTCTGCGACTTACTTTCACTTTGATTTGCGATAGCCTAGTTTGTGCGTTGGCTTGATGAATAGATGCTCATCTGCGGTGATGCGTGTTGTTGCAGAAGCGTCGTCATATCTGACTATGACATATAGCCTATAACACGCTCTCACACGTTTATTTTTTTTTAGCAATTTTAGAGGAGTAAAATTGACATATGTGGTTTCAACAACCAGATGCATTTACACTTGTCCAGTGTCGTCTGGAATGCGGCCCAGACCACCTCCTGAAGTGGTTTGAGCGACCGGATTCAAATCTGTCTCGAATGCGTTTCGAAGGGAATTTACACCTGGTCTTTTCACGATCGGATAGCTATACGATCACAGAAAAAGCATGAAGCGGCCAGGTGTAAACAGTTCCTTGCGTATTGCATGCAAAAGCCTGCTCGTGCACATTGGGTCATCACGTGTTGTAGTAGGGGGCCCGCCTTGATAATCCTGCATAAGGGCCCGGTGTTGGCTCGTTACGCCACTGCATACATGCTTGCTTGCTGCATCTGTTAAGTTATATGCCGTTGGTCAGATACTATAGTTTTACTGAAAAATTTGAAAATATTAATGTATTAATGGAATTGCAATCATGCATTATCTAATTGCAATTTTTTATAGATGTGTTCGTGAGTTATTGAAGTTGATAAGTGTTATTAATATGACTGGATCAATACAACAAGAATGAGTTCCAACACTGAAAATAATTTGGTGTAGGATTTACTTTGAAACTATTTTCACTCATAAATTGCAAGTAAATTTCATGTTGAAATAAGTAGGATTAAATTAAAGGAGAAAGTGAGTTCCAATATGAAAAGAAAATGTTGTTTGTTTGTTAATTGGATGACAGAAAATCTAATAGGAAAAATAAAATCCATGGTCGGAACACAATAAGTGCAATTAACATCTGACAACATGATGAATATGCTGTAATATTATATTTCAAAAGCCTCGTTTGACTCCCAAACATGAAAATATACTGTGTATCTGTGAGATGTGGGTGCAATGCCCACAGCTACATATATTATGTGCAAAACTATTTATTTATTTTCTTTAATAAATATTAAAGATTCAGCCTTAACCTTCAGCCCTGCAGCATTACACTCTGATCTATAATTCAGTAGTGTGGGTGTTTACCAATATTTAAGTACATACTGTAAATGCAAAAAGTGATATAATTAGAATTATATAAATCTGAGCATGCAAATATTAAGGATCTGCTATAATAAAGTCAAATGAAGTGAAACTGATTTTTGTGCACAATACTGAGAGACGCACGTGTTATTCACATTGGATGAAGAACAAAGAGATGAAGGAACATCATCTTTCATTCGAAATGCATCAATAAACCACGTTCAGATGTCAGCACCCCCGCAGGCACTCTTAGATTTGCTTTACAACATTAAAGATTCAGTCTCACTCTAAAACCAGTCAAAGGGTCCCCAAGCCTTCAAATGTGTGTTTACTGCTCAGAAAAGTGACAAAGAGAGAAAGATGGCAAAACTCGATCGAGGCCATTATATATATAATGCATTATTTAAAAAAAATACTCTCGATGCATCATAAGTAGCCTACATTAAGGCCCCGTTTACACGAGAACGATTCCGGGTGAAAACGTAAAACTATTTTATCGGATGTGCCTTTCGTTTACACGGCAACGGCGTTTTGGGGGCTTAAAAACGCAAAAAAGTGAAACCACCCTCCAAAGTGGAAATCTTAAAAACGCTCCACCGTCGCGTTCCCGTCTAAACGGTAAAAACGCAAATCTGCTCACGGTGGCTCTCGTCGCGTACGCGTTTACGTCACAGGCATGCGGTAGTACAGGAAAATAACAACCAACATGTCGGATTATTTCCATTCGTCGGACCTTCAAGTTGCCCTAGCAGCTCTGAAAAACGTTACAAGAGTCTTTTTAGCAGTTGTACAAAATATTCTAAGATATTGGTGTTGTTGTGTGGCAGTGCTTCACATTGCCACCTAGCCGCCTGGAGTGCATACTACATCGAATTTCACACACTTTTGCGTCACCATGTGCACGCGGATTTCCCAACCATAACGCTCGTCTAAACGCAGAATAAAAAGTGATAACGCAACGCCACTTTTGCGTTTTGTCTTCAGATCGTTTCCGTGTAAACATAGCCTAACACTCACCTAAAGGATTATTAGGAACACCTGTTCAATTTCTCATTAATGCAATTATCTAATCAACCAATCACATGGCAGTTGCTTCAATGCATTTAGGGGTGTGGTCCTGGTCAAGACAATCTCCTGAACTCCAAACTGAATGTCAGAATGGGAAAGAAAGGTGATTTAAGCAATTTTGAGCGTGGCATGGTTGTTGGTGCCAGACGGGCCGGTCTGAGTATTTCACAATCTGCTCAGTTACTGGGATTTTCACGCACAACCATTTCTAGGGTTTACAAAGAATGGTGTGAAAAGGGAAAAACATCCAGTATGCGGCAGTCCTGTGGGCGAAAATGCCTTGTTGACAGGGCCGTCGCTAGTGGGGTGAAAGGTGGTGACAATTATAGGGGCCCCCGCTGCCCAGGGGGCCCCACAAAATCCAACAGTTATACTATTTAGGCCCCTGTTGTATGAATAATTCTAATATTTATATTAGTTGTATGCCTGAGATTTAAATGAAAACCGCAAAAACGTGCAATTTGGGTAAATATTTTTCCAAATATCTGCTTCTCTTACCTCCATAAAAATGGTTTAGTCCGACCTAAAGTATTTAT